CTGTGATCATCGTGACTTCACTAATCAGAACCCTGGAAAAGAATGAGTCCCATGAACTACTTTATAAATAACAACAGATACTGGCAGGACCAAAAATGGCAGCAGGGACTTGCTCTTCTTGGTCTCAATGGGAATGGTGAATACACGCGGCAATCACCACACCTATGGACATGGCATGAGGCCACAGGTGACACCCCGCAAGATGGGACTCGAACCCTCCCTCCAGTGAACTGGGGGAGCTTGCCTTGGCAACGCACCTGCCATGGATGCTTCCTGCTGCTGAGCCAGAGCAATGCAAGCCGCCTGTCTGAACACTGGGTCTTTGCTTATGTGGGGCAGAGACAGAGCGTCAGACCTGGGCAGGAGATGGAAGTAAGAAACGGCTTCCATTTATATCCCATCCATCCCATTCCAGGTAACTGGCTCCATGTGTTTCCGGCCTTCTCCTGAGAGAAAGCCCATGCTCCAGACAGCAACACATCACTGGGAAGATTGTTCCCCAACGTGTGACCACTACACAGGAGGGGCCATCTGTCCTTTGAAAGAAGAAGCTTGTTGCCTTTATCAAAATGTCACTTTGCCAGGAGTGTGAATAAAGAATAGCTCCTGCACTGACTTCAGACGATTAGTAATGGCTGCCTGGAGAGGCATGCTGAACATGATCCTAACTGATTAGTGCTGTCTGCCATGGGTAAAGGATGTGGGGCCTGGGAGTATGGTAGGCTGGTGCTCACCAAAGCCCTTGATACAGCGAGAGCCAGGCCCCTGGTAATTTGTCAAAAGATCCCACGTTGAGGACATAAGACAAGATGTGACGTGATGATACACATTCTCTCTGAACCCATTACTCCTCAACTTACAGCTCTGCATATGGCTGCAGGTGATTTCAGGGCACATAAGCGCACAGGTTAAAATTTCTCTAAGGCATCATAGAAGGAAATGTCAACATATGGCCACTCTCCGTGGCAGTCGCTGGGCTGGAAACTTTTGTATACAATCAACTCTCCAAGATCAGGGACTCTTTCTTGTCCACTGCCGTGGTCCGAGGCCGAGGAGAAGGCTTCCTACATAATGTGCAACCAATCCAGTATGGATCCCAAGTTGGCTATCTGGGACTCCAACACACTGTCATGTGGGGTTTGTATCCAGATAAGAAAAGCACAGCTAGAAAAAGGTGCCACCGATGTTAGCTGGCATTGAGTTGGCTCTGATTCTAGGTGGAGACTGTGTCAAACAGGCTCGGTTGCCCGGGCGAAGACCACCTTGATCATTGCCGCTAAGTTTGAGTCCATGGTTGAGGTTATTGTACCAACTGACCTCACCAAGGGCTGTGCTCACTTTTCCTAGGCCTCTGCTTTGTGACACCGCATGTCCCTTGCCGAGGACTGCTCGTCTTCCCCAACGGTGTGCCCAGAAAAAGTGAATCAGTCTCAGCACCCTTGCTTCTAAGGAACATTCAGGTTGTCTTTCTGGTAAGGCTGATTTGTCCATCTTCTCGGCCAGCACCCAACAGGTCATTTTTCCTTCTTCTGTCTTCCTTCTCCATGGTCCAACTTTCTCACACAGATCAAGAGATGGGAAAGATCGGGGCTTGGGTTAGATGTCCCTTAACCACCAAAGGGATGGCTTTGCTTTTTAAAATCCTCAAGAGGTCTTTAACCTCACATTTGCCCAATGTGATTTTGTGACTTCTGGGTTCATGGGTGCTCGCTGTTGCCCTGGAGAGTGAAATGGTTGACAGAGATGATCGATGGGGCTAACTCACTAGAATCACCAACATGGTGAACGGGTCCTTCAAGTGAACCTTTCCAATTCAGCTGTGGGTTCAGGATAGTGATGTTACCCTCTTTCTAGTAAGTCTAAACGATCCACATGGAAAGGCAAATTGCCTTCAGAGGGCGAGTTTATCAGGACTGAATGGCTGTAAGATGCTTCCTGTCCTATTGCCACCGGCCTCTGGCTCCAGCCTCACTCACCAGGAGCTGTAGACCCGCCATCCCCCAATGGACCGGCTGCTTCTAGTTGCTCTGAAGCATCCAGTCAGGCTGCAGATGCAGACACCATGTGGCTTCTCCATGGGGATGTCTTGCAGGAAGTGAAGCCTTGCCAGCTGAAGCAGTGAACTAGCCAAGGCAGCTGCACCCCGGTCCAACCATCACAAAGCAGGAGACTGGAGAACTAGAAAGGCGAGGCTCACTGAGCCATTTATCCCTCCACCCTTCAATTAACCCCACATGTGTTTATCAGCCAGGTTGGCACAATAAACTAACTCAGCTAGAAATGGAATAAAGCTCAGCCCCTCAGGTAGCTAGCCATGCAAGGGGAGAAGTGCTCACGCAATTGAACACGTATGACACAGAGCAAGACTGGCAGCACCTGGAGGAGGTTACCGGCTATCTCGATGAGTTGGAGTCTGGGAAGGTTTCAGGACAAATAAGGATCAAGAGTTGGATGATGAAGGGCGAAGAGTACTTGGCCAGCAGGCCAGGGGCCCCGGGCAAGCAGACTGGCCTCAGAGAGTAGGGTAAATGAGGCATACAGCTACACCATGGAGAGAAAGTGGCAAGAAGGAAGCTGACATGGTTGTCCAGGGCTAGACAACTGGAGGAGACTTGTATGACTGTCTTATGAGTTCCTCTGGACTCCAACTAAGGGGAGCCATTAAACAACATGGCAAGAGACTGTTGGATCAGGTGGTTCTCTGGGCCATTGCACAAGGCCCGTGTCTGAGTGCTCAACTTGGAGAAAAGAAGTAAGGAGGTACTTTGTAGTGAGGACCACAGTAGACCCAGGATGAAATAGAGAGCTCAATGGATGCTTCTGATTCAAAGGAGGGTACCTGGACAATTAGCAAGATGTTTGTTTCCTTTCCACCAGGTCAAAATTTCTGCCTTCTCTCTTCTGCAGCCCACATCAAGCCAGAAGTCGGAAACCACCCTGTGTTGCCAGCAGAGTGTCCTTGCTCAGAAGATCAATTTTCAGGGACTACAGCTAAAAGCCAAAGAAAATTCTACCCCACACAGGTGCCAGAGGAGTCCAAAGGTCTCCTTTGGAGGACCAGGGTCTCACCATAAAGGCAAAAACACAGACACTAATGACAGATCAGATCCTTTGTACGTGAAGTCAGTATGCCTGTAAGGTAGCATGGCTCAAAGTAATCCAGGAATCAAATGATCAAGTATCAAACAACCCTGGAATCAAACAACCCAAATAAAAGAAAGCCCTCACTGCATCCCACCATTAAAATAAAAAATTTTTTCGCCATCTGAACAAATCATTTAGTGTAAAAATAAACAGAACTAGAAATTGTCTCTAATAAACTAATATGAGTCTCCCCAGAGGGTTAATTATGTCGCTCCGTATTTTAAGAAGAATGTAAATTGCCAGTTTCAACAGATGTTCTTTTAAAGGAATTGGTTATCTGGGGAATGATGGGTCTTTGTGAGAGCTTACCCCAGTGGAATATAAACATGAAAATCATCCCACTCTCTGTCAGCACAATCCCCAACCCCACCCCCCGACCCCCAGCCCCCAGCAACTGTTACCCACACCAACGAGATACCCTTTGGTTATTAGCAGGGCTCCGGACCAATTCAAACTGGTTCAGTCATGGCTGAGCGAGTGGAATCCAAACAGACCCCCATGTGTGAAATGTGAACAAAGCTGAACACTAACCAGCATGGGAATGGATGGGGGAAGGCCTGGAGCCGGAGAGAGGCTGAGGGAGCCGTCCAGGAGCCTCCAGTGGGAGCCTGGCTCATTGCCAGGACTGTGGGGAGCAGCACACATTCAAAGTGGTGCAGTTGGTTACCATCTTTGAGCAGGGCGCTGTTGTTTCTCACTCTGCTGGGAAAGAGATTTTGTTCCCTGCACCATGCCTGTAGCTCTTTGTTTTTTAAGTGAGATGACGATTCTAGTGGGGCACTGACCCACACTTGTTTCCATTCCAGTTACCCCACCGGTTCGCCATAGATCACAAGTCCCAGTCCAGTCCACTCTCACCATGCCAACTGTGCCTCAGTCAGAGTCTTCTGGTTCAAAGCCCTACTTATCAACAGCTTGAATGACATGTTCCAACTGGACCTGTCCTCCCCTGTTTCCCCGAAAATAAGACAGTGTCATATATTAATTTTTGCTCCCAAAGATACGCTAGGTCTTATTTTCAGGGGATGTCTTATTTTTCCATGAAGAAGAATAGGGTACACATTTATTGTTTATTGTTTTATTAAAAGAGACTTCGCACTTTCTGTCTGCTCCGGCTGTGTTGCGGCCAACAGTGAGCTGCATGGCGGCAACTGCCGCTACAGTACAGAGTCCAGAGTTACGTTAGCTTGGGGGGCCTTATTTTTGGGAAGGTCTTATTTGGGGGGGGTGCCTTATATTTCAGTGAGAGACAAACTGTAAGTAGGTCTTATTTTCGGGGATGTCTTACTTTTGGGGAAACAGGGTATATGTTCTATAGAATATATAGAATAGATGACCTGTTCTCAAAACTTTGGAATTACCTTTTCACCACCAACCCCTCCAAAAAAACCCATAAAAATCAAACCTCCTACCATGGAGTCAATTCTGACTCATAGTAAATAAAGTTGTAGATCTTTACAGGACCAAATAGCCTCATCTTTTGTTTGAGAAGCAGCTGGTGGGCTTGAACGGCCAATTCTGCAGTTAGCAGCCTGATGCCTACCTAATATATCACAGAGACCTGAAAAAGAACACATGTCCACCATTAAAAGACCCAGCTCACCCACACAGTCTAGAATCACTCCCACTCTGCCCTGGAAAGTGGGGCTATGAATTCATAAGGAAATAGAAAGTTCTGGAAGCACAATGTCCAATTTCCATTTAAATGCTCAAACATCGGAGCCCTGGAGCCGACAAGGGTGTTCCTGTCGGGGCTGCAGCAGTGGGAGGGAGCCCGGGAGAGGCGCCCTCCCAAGGCGCCACACTGCCCATGCTAACTACCTGGCCCACCTGCTCAGGCCGCCACTGCCAATGTCATGAGTAACACCACGGTGCCCACTGTCCCCCAGGCCAACAGCGACTCCATAGTGGGCTACGTGCTGGGGCCCTTCTTCCTCACCACCCTGGTCGGGGTGGTAGTGGCCGTGGTAATGTACATACAGAAGAAAAAGCGGGTGGACTGGCTTCGCCACCACCTGCTCCCCAGGTACAGCTATGACCCTGCTGAAGAGCTGCACAAGGCTGAGCAAGAGCTGCTTGCTGACGTCGGAGAACTCAAGGTGGGCCAGGGCTGGCTCAGCGGCTACCAGCACAAGCGGATGCCCTTGCTGGATGTCAAGACCTGAACTGGACGTTGCCCTGGAGTGTCTGGTCCTGTAACTGGTGCATCCCCTCCCCACCACCTACACTCACCCAGCCCTCCGCTGGGGTGAACCCGGTACTGAACCCCTTCTCCTTCCACTCACCCCGAAAGCCCCATTCCCATGCCCGCTTCACAACTAGCCCTTCGGTAGCCTTCGGTCAGCTGAGCTTTGTGGGGAGGGGAGGCTA